TGCATATGTTACCTACTGTGTCAGGCTATCACTTATTTATCACATTGTCCTAAAGATTTTATAGTTCTTTTAATCACCATTCAATCGACTTTTGTCTCAAACAGCTTCTGCTTAAAAATACATATATGTTCTCTAGAGTTTCAAGAAGAGCTTTTGCTATTGATACAGTAATCACAGGTGTACAGCTACTTACAATAAATATGTACATTTTTATGTATTTTACTTAATTTTCTTGGTTCTTCAATCTGTTTGTTTAATTTTCTTATTGACCCTATGCTCATATTTGGAAAAACAAAACACAGAAGATTTTTTTCTGAATCTTGCCATATTCCTAGGTAAGAGCTGATTGATGTAAGGACTTCAGAATTGGGCCACAACACCTCACCTGTACTCAGGAAGCCCAGATGGACTGTGCATGGCTTCCTGCCAGGAACAGAATCTCTTCTCATGAAAATGTGAAGATTTCATCATTTCTCTCTCTTTCAAACTTTTTCATTAAAGAAAACTGAGCAGAAGTCAAAGCTAAAGAAAGTCATAGACAGAAACTTATACCAGTACATATGTGCAAAATATTTTTTAACGACTACAATATACTTCCACAGCAAGTTTCAGTTTTACTGAATTGGTGTTTTCTGACAAAAACAAACGTATTCCGGCCTTTATCTGCAGCAATTTCATGTCTCTCTTTCCAGCCTACATAAGGTATTGGCAAAATTTTTCCCATTCCTCACCTGTTTTTACCCATGTTACTCCTGGTTAATAGTACTGGCTCACCTTTTCCTACTCCCAGAGTTTGATGAAGTAGGAAGACTTAAACAAGGGAAAAAGAGATGCCTTAAGAAACCTGACTTCCGTGAGTATGGTAAAGGGCAGATTACAATCTTTCCTTCAATTAGAAGATTAAACAGAAACTAACGCATGTCAAAGATCAAACAGGCAAAGAATAATCTGCTGGTGCAATTACTACCATCAGGGATTGATTCAGTTGATACTTTCCAAATACAATTTGACATCTCATAAAAATTACAGCTAAACCAACAGAAACTAATTTCTGTTTTTCACAGGTGTCTATCAGGTTATAAACACACCTAACTTATTGGTTGTAATAAATGCACAACGGAAGGATATAGTTTAATATGAGCCATAGACCTTCCGAATCACCTGTGAAAATAAACTGAAATGGAGTATTTCTGTCTGTCAGTAACAGTCTTGAAACATTTTGTGGCTTTTGAAAAATTAGATCTTTAGTGCTCTTTGACCAAAGTATTTTTTTTTAACTCCCCCCATGATTTAGTTGAGAATGGTCTAGTCACAGAAACATTTCTCCCAGACCATTTAAGAGCACATTACTAACTCATTCTATTCACCTAAATACTACTGAATAGGATCAAAAATTGCTTTCTCTTGGTTTATTGAGATCCTATCTTTATGCACCATTACAGAAAAGTGTTTTCTTCAGTTGTTTTTAAGTTGCTGGGGTGTTTCTCTTTTTGTTTTGGGTGGTTGTGGTTTTGGTTTTTTTGTTTGGTTTTGGGTTGTTTTTTTGTTGTTTTTTTTTTTTGTTTGTTTGGTTTTTTTCATTTAAATAAGCTATTATAAGTTTTTTTCAATTCCCTGGTGCTACTCAGAGATTTTTTTAAAAATCTCTGGAAAATTTTGGATATCATTTCAGACTGCCATGTATACAATGCAATAATGCACAGAAGCAGTGAAAAAAAAAGTCGACTTCAGACAGCAAAAATTCCTGTAATGGGACAATATTGTTAAATGTAAATATAGAACTTAAGTCGTAAAGTTGTGTTTTCACTGTAGCACACCAAACTTTTCTTTATTAATTACAGAAATGCCTTTCCTGTATCAATAGCCCATTCTGATTTTAGTAATAGTAAAAGATCTCTAGCATCAAGAGAATGGCATAGTATAATCTTTATATAAGATTTATGGTATCTGAAATTATGTACTGTTTTATATAAAAGGCAAAAAGCTAATGCATACCAAGTATGCAGGAAATAAAGAAGTCTAACTGAGATAGAACAAGTGTGCACGTTTCATCTTTATGATTTGGTATACTGTCTTCACAGGAATATACGAGCCCCTTGAGTTAAAATAAAATAGACCACACCCGATCTGCTGGTAGGAAAGCTGGTCAAAAACTGATGTAACAAATATTGAAGAAGGTCAAAGCTATAACACAATAAAATTCTGTTAGCATCATTTGAAACAATACTGGACACATTCAAAATTAAAGTATAGGAAAATATCAGGGATCATACTTTGGCTATAGACTTTTGTTCTATGCTGAAATGTGGTATAGAAAGTTTCAGCACAGCATGGTCATTCTCCTGGAATTACTGAATTCAATTTAAATTACTCCCAAAACAAAACATCTTCCCTCAGAAATATTCACATACTTTCGTTCTTTCCTATTAATTATCACATATTTTTTTCTTCTTATAAACCAATAAATTGTGCATATGCTTTATTAAGCTATTCAGTGCTATGAAAAACAATCATCATTAAAGAAAAGACTTTTTTTCCTGTATCTTACTAGGTTTTCTTTTTCTGAAGAAGAAAGATGTGTAATCAAATGTTGTGAGGTTACAATTTCCAAACATACTTGACTAGGCAATATGGGGCCAAATCTTGTCTAAGGAAACACTGATACTGATAGAAATAGAAATCTGAGGAAAAACAACATTTCTTATCAAATGCTCCTGCATTTTAGAAGCAAACTATTACATCTTGCACTGGCGGACTAGGAATAATTAAGCGTATCTTCACTACACCCTTAATGACACGTACTGCTACCCTTTAACAGCACCCATCACAGGCTTCCAGAGAACACCAGGGATGCTGGGGGATGATGAATCTCAGCTCTCAGCGGGGCTAGCAGCAGTCACCGAGGCAGGGTGCTGTTTCCTATATAACCCCAGGCCTGCAGCCCCAGACAAACCTCACATATTAGGAAATTGCTGGAAACTGAGACTTACAGAAAGATTTTTGGTTTACTATAATCTCTGTAAAATAATTAGAGCTGTTAAAATTCAGGAAAAGGACTGTTAGAAAAAAAAAAAAAAAATAATAGAGATGTCACAGCTTTGAACAGTTAAATTGTAACTGTTGTTGCAAAAAACCCCAATATAATGGTGAAGCATCATGTTAATTTCACCAAAAATACTGGCTACTATAAACCTGCTTATCTGCAATAGCTTCTACTATTTCTCTTCCTTTTCTTTCCCTTCTTATTTCTGTTATGCCCTTGCCCTTGAAAGCAGGAAAACTGCTAAAACATGGTGTAGCCCTATTTCTATTTTGACATAATCTGTGACCCTAAACATGACTTCAACATACTTCAACTGATTTCAGCTGTTCTACAAAATCAACAATATCAACATTAAGAATAACTTCCCCTGTAAACAAAGATCTATGTTTGGATCAACTGGATCAGTAAAAATCTATTGTTCTTCTATGGGCACAATAATTTAATAGTAAGGGGTGCTTGTCTTTTCACCGAGACTGAAATTCTTCTTGAATAGTGTCTAAATTCAGCACATTGCGCATATGCTATGGAAATTCCTTTTAAACCCTATGAAGAATTTAGCACTTTAGAGGGACATAGGCAATTCACAAGCCACTGAAATTCACTTTAGCAACTTTAGACACACACTGTGGCACCAGTGCTGAGACTGATTGAGTTACTGCTGCACAGCAGACTGTTAGAAACCTCTCAGCCATGGAAGAAATGGATTCAGACAGCAGAGAAGATGTAGATGAGGCATATTATATTTTTCTTAGTGTCAAAACACAGTAAAACCATTTTGGGGAACCTAAGACATGGTCAAAGAAACTTTGCTATGATGTGATTCAGAGTATTCATTTGGTGTAATTTTAAAGTGTTCAAATTTGTTCAAAACATTTTGACAAGCTTAATTGTGTATTGCTTGAGTATATGCCAATTCTGGTGATGTGCATGACATTTTATTGTAGGCCTTTCCTATTCAGAATGGTGGTGTTGTAGAGCATCAGACATGTATTAATGATTTTAGAAGTGTGTCCAGTAGAAGTGAAATTTCAACAACAGAAGTTTGTTATTGGGCCACTATAAGTAGCATTCTTCCTTTATTTTTATTTTTTAGGAAACACACAGAAAAGAGAAAATTAAAATTGTAATTTAAGCAGCAATATCACCTAAAATAGCAGATAAATAAAATAAAATTGCGTTCCAAAATAATTGTCCTATAGATAGCATAATGAAACTACAGAGGGTAAAAGGCATCTGTATAGTCAGAATAATCAAAGGAGTTAAGTGGTGTAAAGATAATTAACTTGCAGCCCACTAGGGGCTACTGAGAAATATATGCTACTGACATATAACATGGGATACCTTTAAACACCTCTACTGTAGTGCCGGCGAGAAGGCAGGAGGCCATTCAACTACCTGAGAAGTGTGGGAAACTACTTATTAATTATAGTGGGTTATTAACTGTATATGTATGTAAACTAGATATGTTCTACGCACTCACAAAATACAAATAAATAGGTGCAGTCATAAACAAAGAGCCATCAGATAATCAAAGAGCATTTTTCATCTAAGAATTACTTACACTAAGAAGGAAACAATATCTGACTTCAGTTACAATTCTAAATGATCTTTAAGAAGCACTGGGTTTTGGATACATTTATCTTTGAAATTAAATCAGTTTCAGTATCTGCCAGAAATCTTTAATAAGCTGCAAGATAGGAAAATACAGTATTAAAATAGCAAAAAGTTTTGATTCCTTAGAGTTACTTTTTTTTTAAATCTAATTGGGACCAACTGGCCTCATTGCTTCTTATAAACTTAGCAATATATATTCAGTAAAAGGAATAAAAATGAACAGATGTTTCTCCTTAAAGAAGTCAGACGAAGATTTTTCTTACACAATAAATCAGTTGCTAGTGGATTTCCAGGACCCTGCTCCAGGCAAACTGTTTAGGTATGGCTTAAAAACCTGGTTTACCTCCGTATGTATCCAAAACTGGTAAAGCAGATTGAACTGTAAATGAACAGCAAACACTGAAGGGGGTATGAAGAGAGCCATGGGCAAGTTGAAAATCTGAAAAATGAGAAAGAAAATATACATTAGATACATAATTATAAACTTGTGATGATAAAAAGAAATACCATCTCAGCAACTCAAAGCACTGCACAAGATAATTGCTTCTTCTAACACTTCCATAATGTAGACATTATATAGATAGAATAGATACTGATTATTATACTAATACTAGATGTGCTATAGCAAATGAGACATGAATTGATGCAAAAGTAATTTCCCAAAAGCCATACAGAGCACACAGAAAAATTAAGAAAAGAACTCCAAAATCCCAAGGTTAGATGTTTATTCTGTGTACTATACAGAGAAGACAGCAACATATCCTTGACATGAAGGGTTCACTTATAGGGAAGAATTACCATAGCGTAAGCAAGGTGTGAATTTATAACCCTGTAGGTTTTCCATCTGAACTCCGTATGTGAGCACCATAAAGGCAAGGCAGCTTACTTGGATTTCAAAGTTAGTTAATTATAAATTCTCACCCTGACTTCCTCATGGCATCTCCCTTGAAGCCCAGATACATTGCTGAGTTCTAAATATGTGCTAGCGTGAAAACAGTTTCAGAAAATTGCTTACTTAGGAAAGATGCTGGTATCTTACATACAAAGTCACAGGAATTTCACAATTAATTACTTAACTGGTTGAGCAGTAGAATAAGAATTCCAGGACCTTCATTGTGTTAGAAGCCAGTCTGCTTTCTTCAGAAGAAGGCATTTATTTTTTTCTTCTCCCTGACATTGTGTTACACCAGCTGCATTAAGTAGTTAATCCTTCCTAAAATAGAGATTTTTTCTAAACCAACTAGTAGCAGAGGTATCTTTAAAACTCTTTTGCACTTAGGGAAAATCTGGGTAGCAGATAAGAGTTCTCTGTGGGACACAGCAAAATTAGCAAAATCAGTTTTCAAATTCCTATTGTCCTCCTCACAAAAATCAAATCTCTGAATGTCAGAGAAAGCAATCTGATAGCCATGACAGGCCTCCTGAGCCAGGAATTCGTTTAGTGTAGGTCTGCACATAGGATTTAATGCTGATATTCCCTCCATTTTTGTCAAAAGGCCTACCCAATAGGCAAGATGTCACACAGGGGCTCTGAAACAACTGCACCTCCATCCCCATGGTGTGCCTGATGTTCTCGAAAAAGTCACCACAGCCATATCTCACCGTCATGAGCCAATGAAGGACTAAGGCCCTTCACTCCCAGCTCGGTCTACTGGCTTCAACACCAGACGATGACTGAAACACGAGAAATAAACCCTTAAGAAACTGCAGTATCACCTGGGAGGGCTGGGACAATTGTGATTTCAAAGACTACATTCAAAGGCTTCATGGATCACAGCTGCCCCACAATCTACACATGGAACATTTCTGGTTGAATGTCTTGGAAGTTCTTTTCCAAGAAGCAAAGGAATTCAAAGGTTGCAGAAGGCTTATGATGAGCTTCTGGAACTTGGGCGAAATAACGCAAACACCTATTTTGTTTTAACCAGTCTGATCCTCAAAGGTTGAAGTGTTTGTATAGCATTTATGAAACAAAAAAGAAAGAATACCACTGGAAGGTGAAATTTGCACATTCAATCCCTAACAATCACTCAGTCTGTATAAATTCACAAACATTCACAGAAACTCTTACCTAAGGTGTGAGCTAGTAATTGCTATCGGGGGGATGTGGCATTTAGGCATAAAATTCTGGAGTAGAGGTGGGCATGAGATTTGCTTAAGGATTAAAAATGCAGATCAGACTGCCTTGTGCAGAATGCTACCAATAAGAAGAGCCACTTTCAAATCCACAATTCTCCATGCTCTGAAACAGAAGCGTAGTGCAAGTCTCCCACTGTAGAAGAAATGCCCTAAACATGAGCATGGAGCCAATCTCTTTTCTGAGTTCCTTTTTCCTCCCTCCTCTAAACTGAATTCTCTTAGTATTTAATTATTAAAAGTGGGAGAGCTACCAAAAAAAAAAAAAAAAAAAAAAAAGGACAGAGATATTTGTCCCACAACAGCCAGAAGGGTGGCATGGTTTTTCTCGAAGATTATTTTACAAAGAAGCCAATAAAGGAATAGGACACACGGCCACATTTAAGTAAAGCTATTACAGTTTTCTCTTATTATTGATTGTACCTGTCTAATGGCATGATAAGAACAGGCAATTTTTTAAAAGGAATGGAGAGGAAGTTAATTAAAAAAAAAAAAAAAAAAAAACACACCACAAAGCAGATGGTTTTCAAATTATTCATGGCAGTAGTTGCAGGATTGAAAGCAGGGTTAAAAATTATATGCTTTTTCCCTGAAAGTATCAGAGGCAATTTGGTGGTATTTACAGATGACTCAGAGGGGAAGGAAGGATCATCTTCATATTTATTTTCTAACCTACTTCACACAATGAGTACTAGGATTTCCCTCCTAAGTGGTGAGATGAGGGAAATGTTATATAAATCTACAAGTAAATTTGAGACTGACAAAGGAGAATGCTTTCCTAACTGCCTCATGTTTCCTAGCAATGTAAGCTTTATTTTGCACAGAAAGGATTTCAAAGATTATTTACAGAAGTAGAAGCCATAGGGAGGAATTAAAACCTCTCCCATACTAAAGATTTGGTTTCTTTTATTTGTAGTTCCACTGAAACAAGATCAATGTCAGAAAAAAAAAAAAAAAAAATCATTAAATAGTTTTTCACTGGAAATGCCAGTTCACCAAATCAAAACATTTCATGGCAATGTACCAGCTTTCACTAATCTGTAGAGGAACAGCTTTCCTGGCTCCAAGACGGAATTTCTGGTCAAAACTGCAGAAAAACCTTTATCACACTGACAGATCTTTTCCCACTGTGGATTCAGCAACAGAGACTGAGAGTGAGCCACAATACCTGATAACCTGATGGGAAAGGCACTCAGCGAGGGGGTGAAGCAGAATTCGTATGCTGGGGCTGCCGCTCTGCCGCTGTGCACCTTCACACTTGAGGCACAGCCGCTTTTGAAGGGTGCACGTCCGCTGCACGCTCTCCGACACGGGCATGACCTACCCTTCCCCCTCTCATTCGTCAATAAAAGCTTATAAACGCTCCCTCTACAGAAAGGGAAAAAACGGCCTCTCCTGAGGTGCGGCAGGAGGGCCGCGTTCCCTGCGCTGAGCCCCTCGGTTTCCAGGCCGGGTCTCCGGGGCCGCCTGCCTGGAGGGGCCGTGGGGCCGCAGGGCGGCTGCCGACAGCCACTGCCGGGGCCTGTGCTTCCGTGAGGGTTCTGACAGAGTTAGAAGTAGGGATCAAAAAACAGAAAAACCATCCCTTACAGATCCCAGACCTGGCAGGCTCCTCAGCAGATAAGAAGTGAACTTTGTGACTCTGTGCTGAAAGGAACAGTGTTACTTATTCCCTTATCCAGATTTATATACAGATGTTTCCACTGCTTTTAAACCAATAAGGCATAATTCAACCCTTTATCTAAACGTATAGACTAAAGCTATCAAATTATTATGGATCTAATATTTGTAATTAAATCTTACCCCTGGAGGAAAGTTGAGAACTGGTTCTCAAAGAATTAAATCATAGCTGTTCAAGGTGTATATGCAACTCTTCTTTCACAATTACACTTTAACTGTTTCATCAGAAGCAAAAATTTATATAGCATTAAATTGCTGATTTATTCTTAAAAATTAATATGCATTTTTTTCCACATCTTTTTCCCACAAAATGGGCTTCGAAGCCATCTCTCAGTCTTAACGTTAGGTCTGCTTCTCTATGGCCCCTCCACTGGAGGAACAGAAACTGTGTGTGAATGACATGAGGCAATACACATTTGGTTCCAAGTTCAGGAGAACATCTCACACCACTGATTGTACTTTAAGCATGTTTTTCTCTTCTCTTTCATTTCACATCTTTTCAATCAGCTCAAGCACAACCCACACAGATTAATAAACTGATTTATTTATCTTATAACGTTTAACTTAAAACACATACAGAGCTGGCAGCAGAACAGTCCCACAATCCCACATCATCCACCACAACTTTCTCACAGCCTCCACAAAATTGGATATCAAACTGAATTCAACAGTACACGTTCAGCAACATCAGATCACCCTCAGAGATTAACTAAAGGCTTCACTGAGTTTCAGCTTTGAGGCAGATGGGGTTCTGGACAAGACTGGCAGTGCAAAAAAATAGCAGTGCTATTAGAAATACCAAGAAGTGTGTTCATGCACAATAAGGCTTTGGAGAGAGGAAATTTGCACACCTCTGAAAAGTTCTGGAGGAATGTGAGCGAATATTTACATTAACCAAATGTCTCAGCTAATACCAAATATTTGGTGGAAAAAACACTGTACACAAAACTATTATGGATTCCTAGGTTTGCTTCCCTTTGCTCAAAGCAAATGAATTCTAAATGTACTTGTATTATTTGCCAAGTGATACTAGTGTGGTCCTGAGGATGGTCTTTAGAAACTAAGAAGGCCAGACATCTTGGCCTTCCTGAATATTTCATGCTCTCTGAGGTATCATCCTCCAAACCACGCAGGCAGACAAAGTGCTTATGCACACACCCATATGTACACATAGACTTTTTGTCTTTTTTGAATTATTGTTTTTTTTAAGCATTTGCACATATGGTCCCAATGGTTAAATCTTTAACATGGCAGTATTTACATAGGAGTCAGAGTTGTGACAGAGATGCATCCCTTCTGCTATTGTTCATTATGCTCATGTAAATTTGAGGCACTCCTAGCAATATCAGATGACTATTTTCTGAATAAAAAAACTAACAAGAATTTACAGAGAAGGTTTTAAGAAACAAAATTAAGAAACATTATTTACTTCACAATTTCCATTAAAAAAACTAATTTGTTTGGAACTTAGTGCCCATCTAATGTCATGGACTTGGAACTGTTATGAACAACAGGCTAAGTCCATAGTCAGTTATATGAACATAAATCCAGACTAACTTTACTGAGGTTGATGCAGTTACACTGGATTTGCATGTGTGTGAGCACACACCCTTGGTTTTGAGTAATTTGCTCACAGGATAGTTGTAGAGATTGCCACAGGACTGTGGGTCTCCTCCAACACCAATATTATACCTCATTGGAGAATAACATTTATATATTTTATATATACAAAAATACACTGAATTTTGCTTTTGAACTCTAATACTGAAAATTCAAATTTTGAAGTTATTATTCTTTTGTAAAAAACAAACAAACAAAGAAACTGCAGCCTGACTATTATAAAATAGTCAAAAGAGAACATGAGAGCAACTGAGGAAATCAGCAGTTATCCTGGCCCAAAACTAAACACTGAATAGTATGTTACATTTATGAATGTAATTGGAAATATACATTTTTAAATCTGTAAATGAGTATTCAATTTAAACTGGATATGTACACAGCTCCCATTTAAAATATATTATATCTGAAATAACACTAGGTAAAAGTAGTGGCAGACTTCCCTTACTTACTGGAGTACTGACACATGACATGAATGAGCAGAAACAAATAAATATATTTGCATGTCCAAAGTAATCTTTAGTAATGATTTCTCCCCCTGCTCCTTTCAGTTATACAGACATATTCTAGAGTAGCTATGTTATACTCTGATCTTTTCCTGTACTTACGGACAAATAACTGAATGAAAAAAATTGTCCCATTTTACTCAGGAAGTTATGAAAATATAAATGCAGGGTTATAATTAGCCTTCTTAAATTTAACTACTATATCTCTTTTCAAGTTTGCTGTAAAAACATTAATGAATATATTTTTAAAGCTTGTGATTCTCAGATTATTCAGTTTCAACTTCTGTGCTTTCAGTGTCAAACATCTTACATAATTTATGTTTTTCTTTGAAGGGAAATAAACACTGTATTTTCACTTTTACTAAAACTTGTTGATATTAATTTCTTTGTCAAATCTTGTGCAACTTACCCAGGAGGTGTATTTCTGCAGTACAGATTGTCTCAAGGCTGTAAATAAGTTGTAATCTTCAGAACTATGATGTATTTGGTGTGCTGCCCACAGTATATTAACCTCTGCAAAACACATAATTTCTAATGAGGTATGTACTAGAGAACAAAGCAACATTTCTTTCTCAAGGCTTTTTTCTTAAGCTAAAAGCAACTAATCCCCCAATTTACACTTTGCTATTTTACCATAGTATAGAAAGTAATAAAACCTAATGCTCAGAGCTGACTTTGGGTAGGCTAGGTTAAATGTCAGTAAGTGGACACGAGTCAGTGTAACTTTTATGCTGAGGAAGGAGAGGCTGTGGCAGGAACTAAAATCATTGCTGGAAAAGCAGAAAGATGTGTGAGATGAGAGTTTAACAGCTAGAAAGTCTGAGCTGAGTCCTGATAACATGAGTCAAGTAGGACCTCTGTTATGGGGTTCAGAGGGACAAGGACTGAGGATGCTTTCATGCCTCCATTTGTTTACTGAAGTTATAGTTCAAGACTAGAAGGGGACACAAAATGTTCTAAAAATCTCATGCTTCAAATTAAAACAATGTAACTGGTGTCTGCTGTTATGCTTACAGTTTTCTGGAACACGTGAATTTTCAAACGCGCTTGTACCACAGACCACAAAACACAGCCATTGCCTGCCCACTAGTAACAAATGGAAAAATAAAATGGGAAATCTAGAACCATCCAAAGGAGAGCAGTGACTCTGTTATGTTACAGTTCAAAAAAAGTTGTTGGAATATGGGCAAAACCAGCATCAGCCATGTGCTCTGGAGGCATGACACCTCTAATACACTGCAGTGGAGAAGAATACTTCAAAATCCTGATTGCATTTCAGTGCATTTTCTCATTAAGTGCAGATCTGGGTGGCCCCTCTACAATGTATATTGAAATCTGGATTGTCTTAAGTGGGATGTTAAGGATGACCTTAATTACAGCAAAATGAGAAAGCACGTGGTTAATGCAGCCCAAATAATTCCCATTTAGCATAAACCTAAATTTAAGGTCCCATGTATTTCAAGGGATGAAGCGTGCACAAACCCTCAGCTGACTGCAGAAATTAAAAGTTTACTGGCTGACTGCCAGCTGCACATTCCCATTGTCACTGCCATGTTTCACCAGAGCAATTAGCCAAGTGCCTTTGGCAGATACTAGAAGCACATTCACAGAATAATCTTATAACGTGTATTTCAAGTCCTGAAATTATCTGGTGCCAAGCTTACATCAAATAGTTTCAGTCTGGTCATTAACATATACTTGCAATGCAAAGTAATGTAATAAAATTCCCCTTAATGAATCTCAAAATGTCCACCATTTCAGGGGACTAGATAATCTGGTAGCAGGAGGTAAGAGTCTTATATGCTAGAAACTGAGAATTTTAAAACTTATTACCTTTGACATTTTGGTAATTTACATGACAACATCATTTTTTGAATGTCTTCTAAATCCTTGAAAATCATGACAATTGTTGAATTAAAACTGTGATTTCAACAATCATAAAACACCTAACACTCAATCTGAGAATTCTTCCTTCTTTAAAAGCATTTCTTCCTGAAGGAACAAGCATTCACTATATCTAGAAGTAGTGATCTCTCTCTGAAAAAAAAACCCAAAACATCTTAATGCATCTCTGCCTAATGAGCTCACTAGGAGATGAATTATTCAGGTGAGCTTCAGTACTCAATAATAATTTGTATTTGAAATGTTTCCCAAGACCTCGACAGAAGCTAAATGAGTGAACAAAGCATCTGAAAAGGTGGAGGTTAAAGACCTGTCTCCTTAGTTGTTTTAAAAGCATTTACTTCCTATCACAAACTGTGTGTAACACAAGCCTCCACTCAATGAAGTACAGCTGTACAAACAGGGTACAGTAACTGGATCTTGCTTCTTTCCCTCAGTCATTTTTCAGCATTATGAAAAGTTCAAGGAAGGGGATCTATGATGATTTTTACAGTCTACTTTCATTGTAGTTAAGGTCAAATGGTTTTCAAAATGAATTACTAAAAAGGCATTTTATTAACATTCATTTTTCGGTTAAACTGCCTCTTACACTAACAAGAATATGGAATAAGGTAACTGAATATTGGTAAAATGTTAATCTTTCAGATGTGTGAGTCAGCTTAAATGATCTATCATTCAAAAATATACCACAGGAATATTAGGGACATAAACAAACAATTCTGCCACAAGTAATTTAACAGCTACAGTTAATTCTGACTTCTTCTGTTACAGCTAAGTAAATTAAATCCTGCTCCTTAATCCTATTCTTGCTGACACCAATAGCATAGACTACGTTAAATTCCTTGGCAAAATAGGCAGAGTTGATGACTGGAAACAATTTCTGTCTTAAAAGTTTATCTGAAGAAACTGATCATCAATAATTCTTTATTTGAAGTAAAAGAATAACATTATGAGTAAGTGTGAAAAAGACTACTGCAAAACAGTCTGTAACCATTAGTATACTAGAATTATTAGTCAAAATGTCTAAAAGATATCTTACAAATGTAATAAATGGACCAAGCACTCTTCACAGCTGACTGCTCACCAACTACCCACGACAGAAACCGGAATGCATGTGTCTATAGAAGAGCTGTAGCTTCACTTTTTCATTCATAATGATGATAACTTGAAGCAAAATGAGAAAAGTTACTTGAATGAGAATAAAATTATAAGACTCTCACACATGCACTTTCTCATGTGTGTTATTACATAATGACCAAAAAAGAGAGCAAGACCAAGATATGCCCAATTCCAACACAAATTAGAAGAAAAAAAAAAAAAAATCTATGTGGAAACCAGGAAGCATTATGGCCTTTTGTAGATTTCTCCAGTCCTATACTCCTCTGAAGCCACAGGAAAAAAAGTAGATAATGGAATTTGAGAAGCCACCCAGACAATGCTTTAATGGAATTTTTGATGTTTTCTAAGTCAAATGTGACTGGTAAATAGAATTAAAAAAATACATAACTGCAATACACATATGCACAAACCCCCTATTTTTGATTCAGGAGATTGGCCATCACAGAATCATAGGATAATTCAGGCTGCAGAGAACCACAGGAGGTCTCTAGTCCAACCTGCTGCTCACAGCAGGACTGGCTTTAAGTTCCTGAGTGTTCCTAAGTTCCTGAGGTCTCCTGAGTGGAGACCTGATGAGCTATTTGCATCTGGGGAAGAAAAGAACAGCTACATCTTGCTAATTCAGTTAATTATTGTTTAATACATTATTATTACCATTGTACAGAATCAATATTTTCTTCCATCACCCAATATAAACTGTAAAAGAATAAGCATGTAATCCCAAAAGAGAATTAATGATGCCATATAGATAGGTGAGGTGGGAAAGAAAATTGGTGCTACACAGGAACTGCTGGATGATGGACAGGTTATCATCTGGCCCTCAGTTTTCACTCTAGCTCTTTAAGTCTCCATGAAGTTATCTCGGAGTCAGACCTGCAGTTGCTAAAATCAGTGGGCTCCAAGTGGCTGAGATATTTGTATCCTAATACTAATTCTAAAGGAAAATGAAGATTTGTCTTTTTTAGCATTAGTTCAATATATTAATTCTACTGATAGATGAAATAAAATGAGACACCGAGGGAAGTGGCCTGGAAAAGAGGAGGCTTCTGGGGAACTTAAAAGTAGCCTTGCTGCACCAATGAAGCACCGGATATCAAGAAGCTGGAGTCAGGCTTTTTGCAGCAGTCCCACTTTGCCTTCTTTTCTGGGTTTTCCAGAAAGAAGAAAGATTAATCAGGTTATCCTTCTTTTCCACTTCTTTGCTCCCTCCTCCTCCTAATGAATGCATAAAATGTAATGTTTCGCACATCATCACAACCATATTGGTATGGTAACCAATGATTCTACTTAGCCTTAATTTTTTTCTATTTCAAATTCATTTTCTGGCACTAATCAAATCCCATTCTATGAGACCCAAAGATAGATCCAATGCCTGGGCCATATTTCACTACTTCTGAAGTATCTCTTTTGTGGTAGTAGAAACTGGCCATCGTGCACATAAGGTTTCTCTTTAAGCATACATAATGTGGAGAGTTCAAAATGAGACTTTGTTGCTGTTATTTTCTGTAGCTTTCAGTGATTTCCATAGCCCAACACCTTCTGATTAACAACAGGAAAAAACACGTATGCCATAAAAACCTGTAGTCTTCAAGAAGCGACGTCAGTGAAAACAACCATTTTACACAATCCTCAAAATCAGTGAAATGGTAAAGATTTGATGAATCTTTAGTGAATAAAAAATATTAGATAGACCTTTTATTTAAAGGGGGGTAATTTCATTGCACACAGCTGTATAAAACATGGATTTAAAGTAAACTGGAAAAAAAAATACAGATGATTTAGAAAGAGGCCCATATAATGAGTCACATAAAGTTTCCATTCCCTTTCAGTCAACACTGACTGTAACTAGGAGAACAGGTGAAAGTTTCCCCTCAGCATCTATTTAAATTTAAACAAAACCTTCAGTTCCACTATGCTTGCCATCTCTTAGATTAGATACCTTCAGTATTCAGTGAGGAACTGAACTACAGTTTACCTAGCTAGAAGCTTAGAAGACAGCCAAATTACATTTACTGTGCCACAGATTATCACACTACGATGAACTCCACAAAGCCAAGCATGTGGCAAGGAACCCCTCACCCACAGCATGGTCCCTGCTGACCCCAGCGTGGAAACTGCTGCTTCCTAGAGCAACTGCAACCTGCAGCGCTTCAGAGGCAGGTACTTTGTGCTGCATTCGCCTACAAGCAATAGAAAAGGGATCATCTCATGGGTCTAATTCTATCCAGTCAGAATTAGCAGAAACCCCAGGATGAGTGAGGAAAGAAAAATGGTCTGGGAGGTAAATCTTCCAGTCGTTCCTTTTATATGCATTTCAAGCCTCCCTGAAAAGGTAAAACAGAGAACACAGAGTATTTAAATAATTTCTCCCCTAAACTATTAGCTTCTCTTATTCACAAAAAAAACCCACAATTGTTTGATTACTTACTACCTTCCTGCCTCTTTCTAATTGATGTTCTATTGATGTTTTTGAAGTGTATGAATACATCTCT